TCCTGTGTGAGCCTCCCGAACAGTTATCAGTCATGTGGCAGATAAGAGAACCACCCCCGTTGACAAATACAGGAATGAGACCTAAAGAGGGGAAGTGGCTTATCAAAGATCACACAGATAGTAACAGGTAAATCTCGTACTTGAACCTAAGTCTCGTGGGTTCACAACCTCAGTTGAATTTAGGGAAAGAATTGCCTTATTTTGTGGCACCACACTGGTGAGGCCTAGAACATGAGACTGCACCACTGGGGCTATGCATACCAGTCAGGCCACCTGTGCCTTTATATATGGATGCTTTCAGGGGTGAAGAGGGTAATGGGGTGCTGTCTATATGACCCCAAACTATTGTGATTATATTATTTCTCAGGTCTCTTTTAGACTGTTTGCCGCTCGTCCTGCATTACCTGGCTGTGGGCTGTCACTTTTTTCGCCAGTCGTGTACCTCTAGAGCAGCGGTTCTCACATGTGGGTGGTGGACCAGCAGCATCAGCATCACTGGGAGCTCGCTGGAAATGCAAATTCTCAGGCTCCGCCAAAGACTTACTGAACTGGAAACTGCAAAAGCAATGATTCTCAGCTTTGGCTGCACATTGGAACCACCTGGGAACTTTAAAAACCACTGAGGGCTTTGTCCCAACCCCAGAGATTCTGATTTAATTGGTCTATCACATGGTTTTCAAACTCAGCACTGTTGACATTTTGGCCTGGATAATTATTTGTTGGGAGGCCTGTCTTATGCATGCAGAAAGTTGAGTCGCATCACTGGTCTCTATCCAATGGATGTTAGTAGTCTCCCTCATCCCCTCAACCAGTTTAATAACCAAAAATGTCTCCAGATATTACCAGATGCCCCTGGGGGCATAGATGAGAAGCACTAATCTAGGGGCATGGCCCAGGCACTGGGACTTTTAAATATTCCCTAAATCATTCTCATGTACAGCCAAGACTAAGAACTATCACTCTGGATGGTTCCTATGAGTTAGAAGCTTTGAATGTGCAATGGACTGAAGAACAATAAAAGCTAAACTTTATAGCATTGGGTGTAAAGTAAGAATAAATCAACCTGCAGTGAAGACTCAGGCATTTTGCCCATCAGTAAAGTACATAGGCATAGGGTGTAAATTTCACATTGGCTCCTTACATTTTTGCTTTCTGGTTATTGGGTATGTTCCAAAAAACTGATATAAACAGGTACCTTGCACTTATCTAAAAGTTCCCAATCAAGTAGATACTGCTTTGCACTAAATATAGTGAGGACATCCTGCTTTTGGACCGAGTCATTCTAAAAACAGGGTTCTTATCAGTCCATCACGTGGTACAAGTCCTTAAGCAAATCTGTTTTGACAGGTTAAAAAAAAAGTAGCATGTCAATTTCATGATGTTGATTTTGACACGATCCAAATCAGCCACACAAACACAGGATTTCTACATTAACTTGTGCCATTCAGTAGCATTTTAGTTTTCAGATGATGATCGGGACTGTGACTGTATTTCCACTGTAGAGAAGTCGCCTACGTAAGAACCAAGGCACGTGTCCTTCAGTAACATCTGCATTCAGCAGGTCACCCTCCACCGCCCAGTGGCTGCTCCGCGAGGTTCCTCTGGGGTCCCCTGGGGACCGGCAGGGCACGGAGTACATTTAGGGCACAGGCTGGGCTCATCTCCAGACACCTGCTCTGCGACTCCCCCCAGGCTGAGCAGCCCTGTCACGGCCCAGAGTGAAAGGGCTCCAAGAAAGGGGCTTGTGCCGCGCCTGCTTCAACCTGGCTCTGAGATAGAACAGTATTCTCCCACTTTCTCATGCAACGAGTTGGTAGGCACATTGCCTCTTTCAACAATAAGAGTGGAAATACTACTTGGAAATACTAAGAAATAACTTTTAAATGGAAAGTAAATTACAAGATGAATGTATTTTCAGGGCAAAACTGGTACTTTCTAATTTCGAAATATGAATATATTGTCCCAAATTACTGACTGGGAATCATTAATTTCTTCAACACCTACTATGTGCTAGATAATGTGTAATGCGATTGGAAATTGTAAATAAGAAGATTGTGTAATAGCGCAGACCCTTTTATGGCAAAAATAAGGCATGATTGCTCCAAGGTGTCAAATTAATAACCCTGTGAACCAGGTGGTAGTAGCTTGTTCACGTTAATGAAACCAGCTAGTTCTTTTGCTATAGTTGGATCTATCCTAAGCGGTTACATATCTTTTTCTATCCTGACCTAAATTGTTTAATCACTGTACTTTTAAAAATCAAAACCTTTTAATTAGGCTTCCCAGGAAAGTACTTGAGAAAAAAAAAATCGTAAAAGACTGGTAGTAGGTATTATTTTTCATATGTTTCCACTTGTTTTTACAAAAGCTGTATGCTTTTATGTACATGGGAAGTTTTCTGGAAGAAAACACAATTAACAATTAATGGTGGTAGCCTTTGGGCAGGAAGTTTAGGGGCCTTAGAGGGGAGACTTACTTTTCGTTATGTTCTTTTACAGCTTATTTTCACCATTTTAAATTTTGCATTTTCAGTTTTAAATGCTCGCATATAAAGATGCATTCCCAGTAGTCTTTCAGAAGTTCCAAGTGCCTCCTTTAATAAGAGAAAAAGGGGTGAGCTACACTCTATGCCTCTTTGATGCCCCCTTCTTTTTGTATCTATTTTATTGCTACAACAGAGTGAGCAGGAAGGAGACTTTAAATGGAAGATGACTCCAGTGTCAGTTCCAGGAGGATGACACACAGGCCCTGCTTGAGCTGAGCCTGGGTAGCTAAGGAAGGCCCCTGTGAAGAAGCTCCATTCAGCCAGGAAGGGAAGAAGCTGCCTCCCAGGGGCCTGCCCTGCCCTGGCTGCGTGGGTCGGCTGCTTCCGCGCTCCCAGAATGAAGCAGATGTGGGCTGGAGAAGTCTCCACCGTGATTATACCTAAGAAGCCCCTCCAGTGATTCCTTTCACTCCCCTTTGTCTATGCTTTCCAAAGAGAATCCATGCTCCTCCCTGGGAGGGGGAGGAAAAACAACAAAAAGAAGAGAACACCTGTTTATGTAACGACAGACAGTTCTGTGATCTTTTTGGTGCCCAGCAGTACCACGATACCTTTCCCTTAGGCCCTTCCTTTAGGCCCAGCCCCACTTAAGCTTGTGCAAGCATGAAAAAGGAAAAACTCCACGGAAGGGCCCCAGACAACGCATGCTCAGTTGTGGGATTTTCTGAATCATTTTTCTTAGCACTTTCACAGACCTTCACAGGATTTCAGAGTCTCCTTCATTAAGCAAGACATACCCTTTCCTTTTCTCTTACTGTTGGGTGTTCAAACTGGGAAATCCATCCCGGTGGATTTCAAGATCCTCTGACTCTGGGAATAAACCATCAACAACATAACAGTTCAACCATTCCAAACCATATCCTGTACCAACCCCTACATACACACTCCAGTTATGTCTCTGTAGTCTTTAAGGGGCAATTACAATTCTGGGGTGAAATATTAAACTTTCCTTCTATAAAAAGTAGTTTTCAGGCTGCTTTATAGGGGGAGATTCATCCCAGAAGTAGTGTTTTATGTCTTTACTTGCATCAGGCACAAATAACCAGCCATCACCGATGGTATGATTGTTTGTTAGCTTCATGAAAACTGTCCAAGTTTAGGGCAGTATTTTTGTGGAGAGCCCACCAGCTGTCCTTGGACGAAAGTTTATGCGGAAATTCTGAGAAAATATCAACCAAGACTAGTTGGAGGAAGAGGAGGAAGAGGCCAAAGGCAAGACTGGATTAAAGGCAAAGGTTCTTTTAGAAAACTGTCCAGAAAAAAAGGAAATATGTTAGAAAATGAAATACAACTTCTGAAAGAGTCAAATAGGGTCCTAGCCATAAAAATAGAATTTTAGAGGGCCCTGTGTTACTAAATTCTCAAAATGCACAGGTTCTGATTTTGTATCTTCGGGGTACTGGTTCCCCACCCTCTTTCAATGGACTCGTGTTAATGACCATACTGACCATGAAATTAAACCTTGTATAATGTTTTAGAAGTTGTAGAACAGAAAATTGAAACTCAACTTAGAGACACTATGGCAATAGGTACTTTGCAAAGAAAAAACAAACAACTTTGGTTAGTAGGATAGTGTTTCCTATTGAATAGGGTAAGTTTAAATTCTGAGTCACTATGCAAAAATTAGAAAAGAAATCAATGCCATCTTTGCTCTTGAAAAGGCATCATATATTCAACAGGGACTTCCCCCTTTTCACTCTACTGCTCCTAGGACAATACATAATTAGGTGAGTAGCAGTAACTCACAGAATTCTTATGTTCTTGCTACTTAACCACAGCCACTAGAGGGTGTCCTTCCTTTCTTACCTACGGAGACTTTAAATTTTCTACAAGAAAACAGACTTTCCGCAAATGCTAGGGATCGGGGCCCAGACGTTAGGCAAGTCTGAGCCTGAACAAAGAAAGGCCACTTACGACCCACCCACTAAAGCAGTCAGCTCCTTAATCTCAGAGGTAAATTCCAAATGGCTTCGGGTGTTAACCAGTTGACGGAGTCAGCACATCCTAAACCACTTCATTTTCCCAGTGTTCCTCATAACCTCGCATTCAGAACTTTGGCTGCTTGTCAGGAGATAATATAATTTTCCAATGCCACTAGCCAAAAACATGAGAATGATCTGCTTTACTCGTGGTTTAGCAAGAATTGATAAGAGGGGACTGCAGCTAAGCTGTCACCCATACCCCATGCTTTTGCTACTCTTTGAAAAGTAGTCGGGAAGCCTACTTCATACAAGATCAAACATGTATCTCTTCTGTTATTATATTTGTCATTTTCTGTGCCTTTCCACATTGCTGAGGCTTTAAAATATGAAAAGAAGAAGACTGTTACCACCAGGCTAACTGGAATGCATAATGAATAACAAAATTTAGAAGTTTGGAAGATAATTAGAAGTACATGTCCATGTATTGCATGCCAGCTCTGCCATTTCTAAATAGAGTGTCTCCTTCTTTGCAGCTGCTGGCTGGGCGCTGGCCTTTTGATCACAGTGACTTTGGCATATTTCTGTGCAAGCTCTTCCCCTTTCTGCAGAAGTCCTCAGTGGGGATCACCGTCCTCAATCTCTGTGCTCTCAGCGTTGACAGGTAACGTGGTTCTTTCCCTCTCCTCTTTTGTTGGATTTAGAAAAGCACTTTTGTCATAAAGAAGGGAAGTCAAAAAGCCTTGAGAGTTGGTGCCCAGGACAGTTGTTGGTTTCGTGTGAATTAAAATATTAACAATCTTGCTGTACAGTTGAGCACCGCTTTTCACATCTGCTGATTATTAGCCATCTTAGGTTTAGGCAATTTGTATGTAGATCATTTTGCCAGTTCTATTCATTTGGCACCCTTGTGGCAACAAGAAATTCTAATTAAAAAGTATGATTCTGAATATCTGGCAGGAGTTGAGATTTGAACAGCCCTTTTGGAAAATTAAATCTTATAAAAGGTTTTGCCTTCTGACTCAGTAATTCCAATTTTTATGGTTAATTTTAAGGAAACAGTCCAAAATTAGAACAGGGAATTCATGCACCAAGATGTTCTTTACCCGATTATTTACAACAAAAGTTAAATGCAGCCTTATGGCCGCATCTTAGGAAAATGGATGAGGATGTTAAATATAACTTATATGTATAAATATATGAATATAAAATTACTTGAAAGAAATATGATAAATATTACCAGTAGTTACGTTTAGGGAGAGAGTTAGGGGTTTTTGTAATGTTCTATAAGAGAAAAAAATTCTAACTATTTGCTTTTATTATCTGCTATCCATTTTCCTTATGTACTTAATGCCATTCAATACATTGTATTTTTCCATTTGCACAGCTCCTTCCTATGACCTTTATCCTATATCAGCCCTAAGTCTCTCCAGCCAGACAGTCCTAAAGCGCAAGTGCGTGCAGACACACAGATGAGAATACAGAGCCCTGGGCGAATGGAGGGCTCAGGCGCACTCCCAGTCCAGATCTGCTTCCATCCCTACTGTTGTCTTTACAAAAGCACAATTAAAGTTGGGGAAATATTATTTTAAAAATTAATTAAACTTTGTCCCAAAGTTTAGGTAAAAACCGGGATGATAATGAATTTTAGTAGTTACTCAGCCTTCTGAAAGAAAAATCACACCTATTTCTGAAGAAACATCTAACCAGAGTCAAAGACAGACCAGACAAGCAAGTGAAAAGCAAGAATGAGAAGTAGGAGAACAAAGACCAGGAAGGTGTTTGGCTCCTATAAGCAATAAAATCTTTTTTAAGGCTTATAATCCTCTGAGAAGAGAATCATCAATGAAAAGAGAAGCCAAAAGAGGGGAACAAATTTTCTTGACATGATAATATAGGCAACTTTACATTCCTGTAATATATTTTTATTACAAAATTTAAAGTATAGGCTATAATGTTACGTAGCATGGTATAATGGTCCCTAATATATTTCATCTGAATCTATTTAATAAATTTTTTCTTGATGAAAAAATTTTAAGGCACTTTTATTCCTCTGCAATAAGCTATATAATAAATTATCCCTAAATTGAGCAGTATAATTCAAAATTCAGTTCAATAGAGAGACCTGGGCGAGAAGGGTGTGGTGGACAGACGTGAAGAATAAGGCCTGGCTGCTGTCCTGTAGGAGTTTTCATGGTTGTGAAGATACAGACTTGGGAACAAAGGAGAAAAAAATAAAATAGATGATGCAGGTATTCAGCAATGGGATTCCTAAATCATCAAAAACCCTTTCCTTCTCTAGCTTACATTGTTCTGCCCCCTCTTTATTCCTGAGGAGAATCTCAGGGGACCGTCTTGCTAAGCTTAGTGCCCCCAGTAGAAACCACCTGTGTGTGTCAGTGGGGCGGGGCAGGGAGTAACTGGGGGAGCTGATGCAGGGGAGGACAGAGGGATATAGGTTCACCTCACCCATACCAGCTCCGTGCATGGAGAAAAATTAACCAAATGTTCAGTCACAAATTATCAACTCTATCAAGTGAAATGTTCTTGGTTTTAATTAAGACGGTTTTAGATCAAGAAGATAAACCATTTTAAAATTATCCTCCCACAAAAATCCACCTTAATCCACGAGGTTTTTCCTTGGTGATATGCTCATCATTCTTTGTTCCCTGGGTGTGTTCTTTATTATTTTTACATTTCATTTGGGTTTGACTCTAAGCTTCGGGACTTGTATGTAGGAAATCCATTTTGACATTTCTGTTTCAAAAGCTTTCACACTAGAGAATGAATCATTCACATTTAATTCCTAAAGGTAAGATACATTTGCTTTGAGTCTTAATTTGGTTGCATTGTATTCTACTAAAAATATGAAAATCTGTATTTTTTTAATAAATCAAGGAGCAAAAAGAGGGAAATTGGAACCTGTTACAGATCAGTTTACATCCATACTATTGTTGTATGAGCAGAGTCAAATTATGGCTCAAAAGGCTTCATGATTTTTTTAATATTTTTAAAAATATTACAGTTATCTTTCATTTCAGTTGTTTTGGAAAAATAATGAGAGTAACTATACATCCAAGTTCTATACAGTGTCTTTATTATTTCATTAATTGCTCAATGAATTCAGAATGCTGTAGGATCAAAGAAAAGTTCTATCAGCTTTTAATCTGAGTAAGGAAAACAGAAGATATTTTTGACTTGTACCAAAATTGATAAACTTTCATTGTTCATTTCCACTCTAGACTTGTCTCAGTTTAACCTTTTCATTAATTCCTCCTCAAATCTAACTCTTATTTATTTGTATTTTATACCCATAGTTACTTAAGAAAAAGATAAAGTGAGAATTTCAGAACAAGATGGGAAATTTAGAAACAAACTTTGATCCCTAATTCAGCTTTATCAATGAAATGGTTTTTTGTTTATTTATTTTATTGATTTTAAAGAGAAAGGGGAAGGGGAAGACAGAGAGAGAGACATTGATTTCTTGTTCCATTTATTTATTCATTGATTGCTGCTTTTATGTGCCCTGACCGGGGATCAAACCCACAATCTTGGCATATCAGGACAATGCTCTAACCAACTCAGCTACCCAGCTAGAGCCAGTGAAATAATTTTTTAAATGTGAAGGCTGGGTAATTCTAAAAGTGAACTTCTAAAATGAATGAATTTTTCCCAACAAAACATGAATAATCAACCATTGCCAATGATTAAAACAGATACTCTTACATGCCGTGAGAAGTTTTATATGTTCCTTTGAGTTTGGTGGGGGAAAAGAGCAGGGATGGGGGAGGAGAATCAGTGCTGTGCTTTGTAGTTAATTGTCATGTTTAAAGAGGAAGATGAAGGGGTCAGACCAGTAAAAAGGTCTGGGTACAGATTCAACTTATAGTTAAAAGTTGCCTAGTGAAGGAGGTTGTAAAAAGATCAAACTCTTTTAACAACTATTCCAAAATGATGTATAATTACATACCTGGAAAAGTCACAAAGATCCACTAATAAGGCAACTTAGATCTGCCTCAAACTCAAAAGTCAACGTCAGTTTTTCATTCCATCATTTCAAATAACTGCTCAATGGTCTTTATGATATCCTCAGAGGTTTATGCTAATTTAAGAAGGATGGAGGTGGTTTTCTGAAACCCTTCATTTTTACTTAGACGCGGACTTGGGTTCTCCTTTCCCTCCTGGGGTTATGACTTTTCCTTTGCTGCATGCCAGTGGTGAAGGCGTGGAAGACGTGGCTGAGCCAGAGGGAGAGCCCGGGGCTGGGCAAAGTCAAACGCTGGCCGTAGGACAACTTGGGGTCTCTTTTTGGGTTCTGTTCTGGGTTACACAGTTATTTTTTGTTGTTGTTTTTTAATCTTAACTCTATTATCAACATTAGGAAATTGGTTAATTTTGCTTGCTCATTTTTCTTTGATAACTAACTATCCCAAAACAGCGGTTTAAAACAGCCATGATTTTATTATTATCTCACCATGTTATGGTGCAAGAATTTGGAGAATTCTTCTGATCCTTATCACTTTGACTGAGGACTCCTGGCATATTTCAGCTGGTGGCTGAGCGTCTCATGGGTCCGAGGCTCGCATGCCTGGCCGGTTGGCAAGCACGGCTGGAAGCCTGAGCTCAGCAAAGCCCATCTCCCTCCCTGTGTGGTCTAGGGCCCCTCAGCACATCCTGGCCAGCAGACTCAGGGTCCAAGGGGAACCTCCCACTCTGCTCAGAGGCCAGGTCTGAAACTGGCAAAGCATCATTTCTGCTGCATCCCAGCTGAAGGGCTCATGGGAAGAAGCATCAAAGTACTTGCAGCTACCTTTTAATGCATCATACCATGTTTCTCTTTAAAATTCTCCTTGCTAGTATTTTACCTCCAAACCTCTCTATGGCATTTGGTTTGTCTGTCACATGAGGAGGCATAAATCATAAACAAACATTACAAATAGTCAGGTTTGCTGTTAGTCAAAGATGAGCAGAGGTTAAGACAAGTGCCACTTAATTTATAAAGGTGGGAAAATTGAAGGAAAAATAATCAATTCTAATGTACACAAGCATTGATAGGCATGTGATAGAAAGGTTTTTTAAGGTACTTCAGTTATCCTACCCACTCAATATAATTAATTCTGGAAAATCATTGAAAAATAGGAAAAAAACATTTGTAGGTATGTTATTCACAAACCACAAAGACTAGAAATTTGAATAGAAGAGGAAAGTTTAAGTTTTACCAATATCTTGTTATAATTGGTAGCCATTAAATTAATACATACCATGCCTCTGTAGAAATATGAGTATTTTTATAATAAAATTTTTTAAATAAAACTAAAGCTAAAAATAAAATTGTAACTGGTGTGATTTTTATCCACTCATCTACTGATGGACACTTGAGCTGCTTCCATATCTTGGCTTTTGTAAGTAATGTTGAAATGAACATAGGGGTGCATATAGTTTTTAGAACTAGTGTTTCAGTTTCTTTGGATATCTTCCAACTTCAGATATCTTCCCAGAAGTGGAATCACTGGGCCATAAGACAGTTCCATTTTTAATTTTTTATATATTTAAGTGCCCCTATGTTGGGTATATAAATGTTTACAAGGGTTATAGCCTCTTGTTGGATTGTTTCCTTTATTGTTATGTAGTATCCTTCTTCGTCTCTTTCTCTATCCTTTGTTTTAAAGTCTATTTTGTCAGATAAAAGTATTGCTATCTCAGCTTCTTAAAATTTTCATTTGCATGAAATACCACTTTCCATCCCTTTTCTTTTATTCTGTGTGTATCTTTAATCCAGAGATGGGGCTACTGCTTTCCCCCAGGCTGATGCTGCAAGTAAGATGGCATCTGGCATGTGGGCGAGAGACTCAGCATAGGGATCCTGATAGCTGTCTCTTCTGCTCTCTTCCCAGAGCCACAAACCCTGCCCAGTCTCTCCTCATGTGACTCTAGTCTGCCCCACTCTCCCTGTGCTGGAGCCCAGGGTGATTGGCTGCAAACAAGATTTTCTTAGATGGCCCTTTAAGAGGGCACCTGTGTGTCTAGCAAACTCTTGTCTCTCCCTGATAGACAGAATCCCCACTGATTTTCACAGCCAGACGTTATGTGAGCACCTCTTCCCAGCTCTGGTGTTCTGGGCTGGGGAGCCCAGCTTGGCGTTGAGATCCTGTACTTCCCTGGGGAACCTTTGTGGCTTAAATGGCCCTCTGGAATCTCAGCTGCTGCCATGGGAGTAGAGCCAGCCTTTTTCACATCTGTCCTTCCTTCCAGTCTCAGCGTGGCTTCTTCTTTAAACACCTGGCAATAAGATTTCTCTCAAGATAGTCTTCAGTTGGCTATTCACGTTGATTGCTCTATATTTTAGTTATAACTCTGGTTTGGCCCCAGGAGGAGGTGAGTGTAATATCCACTACTTTGCTGACATCTTGGATCTCAGGATTTCTTATTTTCCACACCTGTCCCCTCCTCCATCATCACCATTGTTTCTAATTGCTCTTATGGTTGTTTTCTCATTTCATAGAGATTTTATCAAAATCACCGTGTGTTAATGAAGGAGAGACTATGAATAATCTACTAAACTAAACACTAAAAATTGCTTTTGTTTATTTTTAAATGTTCAATTTACATTGGATTATAGACATGTAATATTCTGGAAACTCATGGCACACTGTCAAATGGAACTGATCTGTGAACATATTCATCATAAGAACATGTTAACCATATTTTCTTTCTTAAATCAACTTCTATCTCCAGTGCTGCGTAAGATGTCTGGTTTTCTTATTCCTTTAAGAGATAAAGTGTTTTATTTAAATCACCTTTCCCGATAATTGATCTAAGAGGAGGGAAGAAGAAATAGATATAACTCACCGACAGCTTCAGGATATAGATATTCTGTCTCCATTCCTTTGAGCTTTCACTGAACATCAGGCTACCAGTCTAATCAGGCAAGAAAGAAAAGTAAACAAAAATGGAAAGCAAAATAAATAGCAGTCTTTATCCCACTGGAAATAACCATAAATTAAAAAATGCAATCTTGGCCATACTGTAAAAGGATTTCCTTGGTCTGTTTGCATAGCTAGCTGTATTTTATTCCATTCTGAACTAATCTGGACTTTTTTAGAGTGTATTGTACACCAATCTTATTTGTCCTAAAAATCTTTTGCAAAATGTTTCTCCAGCAAATTGTACTGTATTTATGCCATATGGCATTATCATACACACCAAAACTATAGGTCCCAATGCACAGTGAAGAAGATAGTATAATTCCTAGAAGCTGTGTTTTCACAGATATACCTTGAAGATGTTCTTAGAACACTGAATGTAAATGTGGGGCTCATCTTGATGGATATGCGTGGCTTGTTGGTTGCCTTGGCTTTACTGACTAATCTTCCCAGTTAAGTCACATGTCCTGTGAGCCCATGTACACCTGTCTCCAATGCCTTGGTCTGTTTTACAGCCTTTTTCTGGCTCTATCTAATGAAGCTATGAAAAGAAAATGTTTCTTTTCCATTACAACAGCAACAAAAATTTGAAGAATGAAGCCACAAAAATACCATACTACATCACAGGTCCCTTCTCAATACTAAGTCTGAAAGTTGTTAGCACCAGACCATCACATCAGATCAACGACTATGGAGTTCCTAAAACCAAACTTTCTTTAGACTTAACATTTAAATGTGATTACTATCACAAAAATATTAAAGTAAAAAAAGGTAAACACGACTTCTTAATACCAGTTTGTTTTTAATTGACATAATTGTTTAGTTACATTTATATTCCATACTTATATAAGAACCATTTTTTTATTATACAGTAAACCCTAAAAATTAGAAATCAAGGTATCTTTAAGTCATTTTTATATACCATAGCATAATGAGACCATAATTGGAGAGATAGTCATTCTTTGACATTTACCAGAAACGCTATATATTTACTAAAATCGCCACCTGGTACAAGCCCACTGTGATCATATTTTGAGGGTAGAAAAAGAAAGAAAATGATGGAGTATCTATTGTCACTATTCGCTAAAGGGTATCTGGCTCCATAGATAAGAGTTCAAGTTTTTTTGAATATATAGAGAAAAGATATAACCAGAGTAAGTACCCACAGCTTTCACTACCTCTTCCAGCAATCAGTTTTCCCCCGATTGAAAAAAAACAGACACACCTATCTGATGCCACCACATCTACACTCTCACAAGATTTTGTTAAATGCCAAATGAAGTGTTCAGACTCAGAGCTGCCAGGCAACTGACTTCCAGAAGGGTGGAACTTTTAATGGCCCACCTGCTTTTCATACCAGGACTCACAGAAAGTTCCTAAAAAACCAGTGGCTGGTCACTGGCCAGGGGAAGGAACTCTCTGGCATTTATCATTTCTTTTAATTGAAATAATTAAAAACTTCTGGACAACTTGACTCCATTGCTCCGTTTTCTTTCAGGTACAGAGCCGTTGCTTCCTGGAGTCGTGTCCAGGGAATCGGGATTCCCTTGGTCACTGCCATTGAGATCGTCTCCATCTGGATCCTTTCTTTCATCCTCGCCATCCCCGAAGCGATCGGCTTCGTCATGGTGCCCTTTGAATACAGGGGTGAGCAGCACAAGACCTGTATGCTCAACGCCACATCAAAGTTCATGCAGGTACGAATAGTTTAAAGGGAATTTACTGGGGAGGGAAGGGGAGGAGGTCTGCACTTTTACTTGACCATCACCAAGACTTGGTGCTATCTCCACAGTGCCCAGGGTGGTTAGTCAAGTATTCTTCAGTTGCATAAAAAAAGGATATGTTAAACCAGGGCTTAGCTTCTTGAATAGAACAATTATTTTGTTTTTATTCTTGTAGCACTACTGTACACACAGCTTTTGTTCTGCACCAAACAGCTCAGAATTCTGAAATACATTTACTAAGAAAGAGAGATGTATATATGTGTAATGTGTTACTTGTTTTTATAATAAGGAATACAGCACATGCTGATACTTATTTTGTGTTACTTGGGGAAATACATGTTGCTCACACACTTTTTAAAGGTAGATTTGCCAACTCAAAGTAGCAAGTCATACTGACATGTACAAACAATACAGACTTGCAGAGCTTTTTTAAAAAGTGTCCAGTTTAACAAATTCAGTTGCTGTTTAGTGCACCTGGTCACATTAATGTTTCTCTGAAAAGCTTAATCACATGAGTGTATCGAGAAACATTCTTAAAATGCATATTACCTTTGCAAAACAGTCAAAGGGGACTCAGGAGGAAAACCAAAAGGGTAACTATTCCTCTTAAATCAGCATAATTTAGTGCTTTGATGAAAGTTGCATGTAGCTCAGCTTCCACATTTAATCACTTACAGACATCTCAAGGTATGTTTTCCTAACTTGGAAGGTTTACAAAATGAGTGGTTTTACAGTTGACCAGTTATCCTGCTTACACATTCTTGTTTTAAAATTAAAAGTACTCATGAAAGCTGCCAAACTGGCAAACTAAAAATTAAGGTCTACTTATCTACTGAATTTTTTTCATTAAGTCAGATCTCCACAGTGGAAAACAAAGGCAATAAGAGATTGTCAGGCTTTGGGCAGTGTAAATAAGCAATATGGATATTTCTGAATGAAATATTAAAGAGAAGAAGCTCAGCATAAGAAGCCTAATGCCCTGCTGGTGTGGCTCTGTGGACCGAGTGCTGGCCTGCAGACCGAAGGGTCGCCAGTTTGGTTCCCAGTCCGGGGACGTGCTTGGGCTGTGGGCTGGGGCCTGAGTTGGGGACGTGCCAGTAGCAACCACATATTGATGCTTCTCTCCCTCTTTCTCCTTCACTTCCCCTTTCTCAATAAATAATTAAATAAATGAATAAATAAATATCTTTTAAAAAACCAAGCAGCAGCTACTAATCACTGGAACTGGACATAGGAAATGGAATACTTGATAACGACTGAGTCTCTTGCGCAGAGTGGTGAAGCTCTCTCACCCTTCAGGCAGGGAGAGCCTAGAGGGTTGCAGTAAAGGATATGAGTTTAAACTGATGATTTTTTTTTTTTTTTTTTTTTTTTTACTATTTGGAGTTCTGTTTCTCCTCCTGTTTTTTCTAATTTTATTCCTCCTCTTTGTTCCACACTTTCCTCCTCAACTTTGCTGCAAAGGACTGGAGGGAGGCCCCTCCGCACCATTGCTGATGACATCAGCTCGAAGGGGATTTGTGGCCCCTTGCTCTACAGGCCTCTGCAGGGAGGGGGCAGGGGCTCCATCCAGTCCCCTCAGGGGTCAGCTTCCAGACCCTGCGCGGCTGCTTTTGCGGCGTGCGCGCCAGTCAGCAATGCACCTGGAAGAAGGGGTTGCACATTGAAGAGGGTACTTAAAGCAGTGTTTACTGTGCACTTAAACAAAAAGAGAATCCTCTGGTTTTTTCTGTTTGTTTTTTAAGTTCAGTACAGAAGTCTTTCTACAGCGTGATATGAGTATGGAAATATCTGTATAAACAGATCTGAATAAACCAACTCCTTTGGGAATTTGTACTTACCCAGAGGATAAAATTCAGGGGTCTTTGAACTTGAATGAAAAAAAATTTACATGTTTATTTCACTAACTTCTAACTGAAAATTTATCATTTCCTTCCATTATGAATATAGGTAACAAACTATAATATAACAGTATTTAATGGTACCATGATTTTTTTCACTAATAGAAATTACACATTTTCATACCATGTAACGCTTGTATAATCTTGAAATATCATTTATGCTTATCACTGCTTCAACATTCTTATAGTTATTAGAACCACCATTAGGTCATTTAGTTTGTAAATAAATATCTATATTACTATATCAGAATTTTATTTTAAATAATTTGATACCATTTCTGTGTAACTGATTTCCATTATAATCTTACATATTTTATTTTATGTGTGTGAAAAAGTAGTATTCTCAGAAAGGATTATAATCTTTACCAGACTTCCAAAGGATCTATGGCATAAAAATAGTTAAGAACCTCTGCCCAGAACTTTTTTTTCCTCAGGAACCATTTATAGATTATTTTAATAAACATGCTATAAATGTAGCCCACTGTGCCTCTTTCTATATTCAGAAACTGTCTAGTTTTTCACAGAGCAGCATGATTAGTTTTTACTGTGGGAACTGAGATATTACAGGAGGCTGCATTATCCATAGTAAATAAACAATCTGAAGAAACAGAATTAAGGGAAGAAAAGCATTTCCTTCCCAAGTTGATAATTAATTTAGAGGAAAGATGAATGTAGATATAATTTTCCAATTTCCATTTTTATAGGGCATTAAATTTTCTTATTTAAAAAGACATAAAAGTGAATAATCCTGGTATTTACAAATCTTGCCCACAGGGAGATAGTGCTAAATATGCTTTCGGATAAGGTACCCTGTTTTGATAGTTTCCAGGTGGTAAGTATTAAAAAAGAGCAAGAAGAGGCATGATTATTAATGGCTCAAACTGGCTGGCTGTGAGGTCACATAGCAGGCATTCCAGGCAAAGGGTTAACTCCCAGGAACCAAAGCTACACAGATAAGCCATTCATAACCTCCCTGTTTCCAAAGGAGATATCCACATTAAATACACTTTGACCATAATAGTCAAAAGTAAACCAGGCACTAGCAAAACTTGGAGGCTCATTAATAAAGATAAATACATATTCTGTATGTCTCAGAATCATGTTTTGTGATCTTTGGAAGGGAATTCTTTTTATTGATTAGAGCTCTTCCATGTGTATAATTAAAATCAACTTCCATTTATAAAAAGTATCTTTGTCAAGGCAATTTTTTTTAATGCAGTTTATTCATGCACTACTTTATGAAGCCACGGTAACTTCTAGAGTCTCCGATTTAATTGAGTTTTGAGCACCACCCCCAAGCTCACTACCAAAACCAGAGAGCATGAATATGGGAGCAGGTCTGTGAACAGGATGCTGCTGAAGCCCCCAGAGGCCCCGCACAGCCAGTCTGAGCTGTAAAGATCCCCTCTCCTCTCCTCCTTTTCCCCATGTACAGTTCTACCAAGACGTGAAGGACTGGTGGCTCTTCGGCTTCTATTTCTGCATGCCCCTGGTGTGCACCGCGATCTTCTACACCCTCATGACTTGCGAGATGTTAAACAGGAGGAATGGCAGCCTGAGAATCGCCCTCAGTGAACATCTTAAACAGGTAAATGTAACAAGATTATGAAAATCCGGCCAAGACTGTTTTGTCCGTGACAGCAAAAGGCTTTATTTTGCAGGTTTAGCCAGGTATCCCAAAAAGAAAAACATTGTCTTGTTTGTCTGTATGTATTATTGTCTATTTATAGTTACAGTGGTAGGAATTTCTCTTGTGAAATAGGGAGCCTGCCTGGAGACCAGGCCCAAATAGGGAGGAACTATTCATATATTTTGCCAAAAGTGTATTGACCACGTGATTTGTGTGTCTTGGCTTGGAACTGCGTCAGGACAAAAGGGAACATGTGACTTTCTCCCCTAGCAGGCTTTGCAATCTTATTGTGGGAATAACATGCAAACATGAGAACAACTGGAAATTAGAATCTCAAGGTGTGGCAAAAGTAGCGTATGCTATAGAAAGCCAAGGAGGATATGAGATTAAGTCATGGAGAAACTATTCATGGATGAAAAGGACTGAATTGGTCGTGGAAGATAAATGGGTTTGATGGGAAAGAAGAGGACAGAGGGTGTTTCAGGTGAGAAGACAGGAACCTAATTATAACATGGCATGTGAACCACCCATTTGGGGAGTGAGAAAGGAGATGAACCTCATTAAAGCAATGTCAACAACATCAAAGGTGAGGCTCTTGAAAGGGAACAGGATGGGGTATATAGGAAGAGGTCAAATTTTGGAGGGACCGAAGTTCTAGAATGAATTTGATATGTCAGTAGGAGACTGCTGTTGGCCCCTCCAGGGCAGTAAGCAGAACAGAGAAAGCTGTGCGCTTCAGAGGGCAAAACTTGGGTCTTACACATGCTGGCTCTGTGACATTGGGAAAATTGCTAATCTCACTGAGCTTCTAGTTCCTCATAAAATGTATATAATAATACATCAAGGGGGTTACCTAATGTATATAATGTGTCTAATAGAATCTAACTCACAGTAAGTACTCAGAAAAATGCTGATATAATTCCAAGAGTAAAGCTAGGACTATAGGTAAGTTCTAAGTCTCAGCAGAGGACACCCAACCACAGCAAAAGCTAATGTGAGTTATTGATGGAACCTGTAAATCTGCCCTATGTAATTATCATGCACAGACACATTCTTCATCAGCAGGTCTTTTCAACTACTGTACTTACTTTTTTGAGCTTCAGGTCCTTAGCTATAAATTGGGCATAATAGCATATAAATCAATGTTATGATGGGAATTAAAAGAATTAATGTGAACATACATACTTTGTAAAAATCCAACACACCGTACAGATGGTAGCTATTATCATCTATTGAAATTAGACAGGAAAATTATATTGAGAAACTTTAGTGTAAGTTTGTTCAAGCATGAAAATTTCCAGACCTAAAACATTAAGCAATTATTACCCCTCATTCATGCAATTCATTAGAATAGATTTGTGGAAACAGTGTTTTAAATAATTGATTTTTTGTATCAGCACCATAAGTGATCCTGTTTAAGTTATAAGTGGTATCTGCTCTGAAAATAGTTAAATAGGGTTTGGGAGCAATAATAATATGATGCTCCTTCACATTTACATAGCATTTTGCAAGGTTTTATAGAGCATTCCCTTATTTGACTCCTCTAAGCATGCTGTGAGATAGTCAAGACAGACATTATCCTTGCACAGGTGGTTAAGAGATTGACTCAGCCAAATGGAAATTAGAAGTCACAACTTGGTCCTCATGCAGTAGACATTTCCTGTGTCACACTCAAAGCTGAAGCAGGTTCTAAGAGCAGAAGAGGAAGCCTGGTTGGAAGGAAGGCCTTCGAGTGGGACCATGTGAGAGTTAGCTCGGTGGAAGGCCCTGCCACCCTCTGACTAGTATCTTGCTGGGCTCTTGGTCTGGCTTCTTGCATGGTGTCTCAGATTTCTCTTCATTATACTGACAACAACCTTATCAGGTAGGGATTGTGTTTGGATGCTGATAGCAGAAAACCCAAAATAACATTGAGTAGACCAAGGAGGCGTTTATCTTTGTCCCACAGCAGAAAGTTCAGATGTCAGTGGTTCAGCGATGCAGGGACTCATCGGCAGGGGCGTACTGTTTTGCTGACCTTCCATTCGGCATTACAGAAGAGCATCTCCGGCTTTTCCTGTATGTCTGATTTCCAGGCAGGAAGAAGGGGAAGAACACAGATCACATGAGTGTATGTGCACCAAAGCTTTACAGAAACCTCACACAACCATTTCAACTCAATCTAATTGTTCAGAACTGCATCAGGGCACCATGCCAGTGATTAGGCCAGGCTCCCACACTCAAGAATCTGATTGCTAGCAGGGAAAATAGGAGAATGGATATTGGGTAAGCAAATAGCAGGCTGTCCTGGCAAAGCATTAATATTACCTTTTAAAAGGGTTGTCCTCTTTGAGGGTATGGTCAGGGGAGGCGGCCTCTCTCCTGATGCTCTCCTTCTTTGTTTTTCTGGACACACTCTTTCATGACCACTTAAAAAGAGCCCCCATTCCTGCAAATTGGAATCCTTTATTTCTCTCAGTCATTGCTTAGTTTAGTGTGTTCTCTGAAGCATATCCCAGCTAGCCCAATAGCTCCACAAGATTAAAGAACTCCCAGTTCTTTGAGTTAGAATAGCAATTTGTGATACTTGCTCAAAATCTTTTAAACAACTCTATTAGTGGGTTTGTTGTAGGCTTCCTATACTTTAAATGCTATATGCTTTGGGTTGAACCAGCATTACCCTTCCAAATCCTGTTTTCAATCAGTTTTATTTTGACATTGACTGATCCCAGTTACAAACAAGTTGCATTTTATGTTCCTGGTTAGGCTTCTAACTGCATGCACTATAATACTCAAGTGTAATGCACACAGATGACCAGTTGCTGATAATTCGTAACCTATGGTTTTTCTGATCCTGTGCAGACTTGGAAGTATGTAAACCTTCAGCTGAAATCAGTCCAGGGTCAGCGTGTCCCAATTTTTCTAATCATCATTGCTGATAATCCTTTACCCTTATACCTCTGTTTGCAAACAATATATCTTTGGGAAATATATGTCATTAATAAAGTATTTTAAAAGCAAAAATACCCCAATGTTAGCTTTCTTCATGATCAAAAATTGAGAAAACATAGTGCTGTTGCTTTTTATTTTCTGTTTCCTATTTTGTTTTCCAAACATCTTTGCAGATTTGCCCATTCTTTATCATGGTGGTGTCAGTTACTTTGCCATGCTGTCATTAATGCTAGTTCGTTACCTGAAATTGAGGCTTTTAGCTAATACTTTCCTCCATACTCATATATTCTGTTCACCACAAACACTCACAAACATGCTTCCCCAGACTTGATCACAGTGTGGGCCCAGCTCCAGCCAGTTCCCACCTCTCCCTGCCATAGACCATCTGCCCTTGTCCTGATAACCAGCCTGGAGCCGCCAGCCTTCCTGGAAGCTGCCCAAAAGAATCAGTAGCAAATCCTTGACCATGAAGTTGGACTCCAGATCTTAAAAGAGGTGGAGGAGGCATTGGGAGTCAGGCTATTCTGGTTCCTCTTTGAGCTCTTCTTCTTTCTCTGCTCTCTACTACTTTCTTGTTGTGTTGGTCTTTTATCTAGAAGGAAAACACTGAACTTACTGTACTTTTTTTTCCTCTCACTTTCCTTTAGCGTCGAGAAGTGGCAAAAACAGTTTTCTGCTTGGTTGTAATTTTTGCTCTTTGCTGGTTCCCTCTTCATTTAAGCCGTATTTTGAAGAAAACCGTGTACAATGCGATGGACAAGAACCGATGTGAATTACTTAGGTACGATCCTATGTATCCATTAGGAAATTGAAGTTTCTGATTTTTAGTTATGATACTTTTACAAAGCCATCTCGCCTATATTCTCAGTAGCCCTGAAATTTAAAACTGCCAAGTTGATTATTTTTTCTTTAGCTGACATAGCCCAAAACTGATCCCAAAATGTGTGCACACTATGGCTATAATCTTGCTGCTCTCTTCCAGAGGCTGCGCACAACAGCCTAAGCTAGCCAAGTGGCAATTAATGCTCTATAGCACTGAAACTGCCATTTAAACAGTGACTTCACAAAAGTTGTGATTGCTACCTATAAGAAATGGCTTCCGAGCAAAAAAAAAAATGCTTATTCTAGGAATAAATGCGAGTTTGCAATTTTAAAACATTATGTTCTAATTATTCTCTGTTTTCTTTTGCTCTAGTTTCCTGCTCCTCATGGATTACATCGGTATTAACTTGGCAACTATGAATTCTTGTATAAACCCAATAGCTCTATATTTTGTGAGCAAGAAATTTAAAAATTGTTTTCAGGTAAGACTGCTTTGCAAATATATTTAAGGACAACCAAATAAGTATATTAAGTAGCCAACAGGCATGGCTAATTCCAGGTGTAAATATTACCTTCATCAGCTATATAGGGGTCTGGCACAGATAACACCCCTTTTTTAATTACAAAATCAAAAGCATGTAATTCTGTAATATAACAACATCACACTCATGCACACTATATGGCATTTTAGGTGAAATGTTCTAATTAAAACTATAAATTATTACACCCACATTATACCCTATCAACCACACTCAGGCAGGTCTTGCTTCTCTGCTGGACCCCGTACTTTCAGCAGAGAAGTGAAAATTGTATTTTGTTCACCTGAAAAATGGTTAAGTTGTGAACATGAGAGAAAAGTAATATCTATTCAGACAACAACACATTCAGAGGTTAAAATTAAAAATAACTAACTTACCCTCCTTTAAAAATAAATGCTCAAATGCGAGCTCCAGGCCACATAGAACATATAAAACCTTTTCCTTCCTTGTCTTGTTTTAGACTTTAACAATGTTCCAACAGTCTCAGTGAAATATCAGTTCTATTTTTTGTTAAGAAACCTCTTGCCAAATGCAACTTAATAGTATATTTAATAATAGCATCTTCAAGGAAAGGTAAATGCTTATTGCTCTGGAAATATGAAGTAATGTAATTGAAGTTGAAGTAGTTTCCTTCTGTTCTTCAAACCTCCTTCTCACTAAGCCAACCCAGTCTTCCAGAAGCTCCATGTACTTCTTATTGATGTGTCATTTTTCCAGTTTCTGGAATGACTTTAGCTTAGAGTTAATCCAAACTGGATCCTGTTATCGCTAGCTAGGATGTTAGTTCAAGGTACCTATTAGGAAGTGTAGCATAGAGGTCAAGGGTGCAGGCTCTAGAAGCAAACAACCTTGATTTACATCACAGCTTTGCACGGACAAACCCACGTCTGGGCGGTGCCCCTCCTGCTTCCCTAGTTTTCTGGCCTGTAAAATCAGACAATCATGATGTCTATCTCATTAGTAGGATTCAGTGGGTTAATATATGTTGCTTGAAACAATAAGGAGTGTTCAATACGAGTTTATTCTTTTCTGGGGATAGAGTGGGCAAGAAAAACACAAGTGACTGTCTCCTTTTAGATTGAATTTAGATTGTAAATTCAATCTAAAAGGAGACAGACATATATTAACCCAGAATCGAACAAATGGATGGAACTTGGTAGTTTCATATAACTTGCTGGGAAGATAGCACCTACACCTAGGGCTGAGAACATCCGATGAGGTGCAGAATGCAGAGAGCTGCACCAGTGGTACGCACTGAAGGCATGCCAGGCCTCTCCTAGCCCCCTACTGATGCCCACCCCAAGTCATTGACCGCGCTCGCTCTAACCAAAAATGCTCACCTTCTTCTTTGACTTGGTGAATAGGGTTAAAACAAGAAAAAAGGGATCTATTTCTCTGCACTAGAATGGACAGTTTAGCTTCTACTATGGGATTACAGACTCCATTCACTAGATTACCGGTAGGGCCCACAATCTGTCCTCAAAAGCATGTGGACATTTACCCCTGTTGGTGGGGGTCCAAGGCATCTGCACTATGCTGGAAACAGGCTGGTAGGCTCATGTCACTTCACATCTGTTCCTTCTCCCAGTCTTGCCTCTGCTGCTGCTGTTACCAGTCCAAGAGCCTGATGACCTCAGTCCCCATGAATGGAACTAGCATCCAGTGGAAGAACCACGAACAAAACAACCACAACACAGAGAGGAGCAGCCACAAGGACAGTATAAACTGAACATCTTCAGAAATATTAATCAATGTTCCTTCAAATCCTCTTGAAGGAAAAACGTCACACAGCTACTACGTCTCCAGAAGTCTCTCCTCACATGGCTCAGTCCCACCCCTGGAAAATGCTTTCCAAAACATCAGAGAGTGGATTGGTTTATACCCACAAATTCAGTGAATCTAACTTCTTTAATTTATCTAATGTACATATTCTGCATGTTTTATTCAGCACTAAAAATGGTGAAAGTTGGCAGGGGAAAGGGAGACTGTTAAATGAAGCCAGAAGGATATTTACTACTTTTGCATGAAAATAGATTTCAAATGCATGACTAGCTTTCACGGCCGTTCTGTCAAATGTTCAGTGAGAACTGGTCACCATGAAAGTTTGGAGATTATGAAATAGAGATATTTTTTTAAGTGTGTTTGTTTTGTTACCAAATGCAGTATGGCTTAAATCACCTTTGTTTGAGATGTTACTCAGTCCTAGTATTTTTTAACTCATAGTAGCCTAAAAATAATTATTTGAGTTTATTTACACATATTTTAAAAAAACAAGTAAAACAATTTAGGTGAACAATTAGGCTAATATTTCTCATGTCACTTTTTTTTAAAATATAAATTCTCAAGCTGCAAAAAATGTAGGCACTAAAGCATAAACTGGTAATCACACATGGCAGTTTAATAGCTGCAATTCAAAGCATTTTTAAGAGCTACTTTTTTTAGTGGTTTTTCATTACAGGAGATCCTGAACATAGGTTTATGTTAAGTTAAAAAAATAATGCTTGAATCAAATAGTTCCATTTTTCATAAGCTATATCATTTTTCTGTCAGTTAGGTAAAATCAGTACCATATACCGAAATTTCAAAGTGTATGTCATTTAACCATCCCAAGACTTTCAGTGCAATGCATAGACATCTCAAGCACACCTAGGAGGAAAGGATTCAATATTTTTAGAAGATTTGGAAATTTTCATTGAGGTTTTTTTAGTAATAGTAACCTGTATATGTATGAAGATGCATATATATGTACATATGTACACATAGGTGTGTATACATATATATAGAATACATATCACCACATATTCTTTTGATTTGTCGTAAATGTCAACTGGCAGTAAGACTTTTTTGGTCATTCCATTTTCCATATAGGAAACAATTTCAAAGTGGCTGAGTTTATCATGTCAGCGAAATATAATTACGCCCAAAGGCCATCATGAACTACGGTTCTTCACTTCCCCAGGTTTCCAGTGTGAAGTTAAACACCTCCCCACTCCCCCGATTCACATGGTCACCATTTCAAAGGGCCCACAGTGACTTCTGCTGGGCATTTTCCAAGATGTTTACAGACTGTGAGTATAGCAGAAAATCTTTTACCATGTGTACATAAATATATATATATATATATAAACAACTATACATTTCTTTTAGCCAATGTTTCTGTTATCTCTTCGGAGTGTATTTGTGTGTGTGATACATGTGTGTGTGCGATGGGATGGATGGACTTATGTAATCTAATAATAATGCCCTGTGCTTGTGCCAAAGCACATGCTCTGAGTGGAGTCTAGGTGGTTATTCATCATGACAAGCAGCCTCAGTCGGTTTTAATCTATGTGTTCGTAAATCTTGTGGCTGTGTCATCATTACAAATTGAATATGAGGGGGGCAGCATGAAAGGGGACGAGTCATCGGTTAACAATAGGGTTTTGTTTGGTTGGTTGGTTTGGTAAAACAGTGTTTGGGGATGTATATTTTCCTGTGCTAGAGCAAACGTCATTAAACTTTGAAGTATTACATGGTCCTAATCCTCAACTTGATGAGGTTGTCAAGTGGTCAGCTGTTTACATCAGACTTCACCAAACATATTACTGATGATGAATTAGCTAATAATTTGTTGGGCTATGTTCTAGCAGAGTCACATACCAAATGATACAGGTTCCAGCTGATCCAGCTGCGGGGCCCCTTTCTGGGTCAGCAGTCAACGCCATTGCTCCACAGATGTATCACATGCAGTGCTGTGGGCCCATGATGTAAGCCATGAGTTCACACTATTTTGTTAAGACAATTGTCTTTTTGTTTAAGATGCTTTGTCTCTTTTATATGAAGAATGTGTTTTATAAGTTCAGAAAGTCGTAGATTTCCGAATAATCACACAGGCTTCAGTGTACATTTTGTTTATGGACTGTTAAGTAACCATGGTTTACTAGCAGGAATATTTTTGATTTCTACTTTTATCACACCTTTCCAAGGAAATCGGTAGAAATGAGCCAAAGCCAAGGGCCTGCATTGGCAGTGGCCTGTAAGCATAAAATAAAGTTTATAGAAGGCTTGCAAGTGTCTCTTCATTTTTATATAGTTCTTCAGAGAAAATGCTTGTTACACAATACCTATCATAAATCTCTCCCTAATAGCAGCCAGGCAAGAAATTTTACTTTCAAACAGATACTTCCTTATTCTGCTGTATTCTCAACCTATATCGTTGTGCTGAACACATACCTCTCTAATTCATTTCCTCATTCACTTTTCCAGTAAATTTTACTGAGCATCTACTGTGCTGCAGGAATTCTTCTAGGTACTGGAAATGAAGCAGTGAACAAAGCAGGTGAAGTTCCTGTTCTGATGGAGCTTGAATTCTGGAGGAAGGAGTTGAACAATAAACAATTACAGTCCACAGACAGTATGTCAGGTGGATACCTGGAGGAATAAACTCATATGTACCCAACTACTTAACTCCAATGGGATGGCCAACAGATCTAAAGCTCCTGGTATCCCTGTAACCTGTGCCACCATAATATCCCTCTGCTCACGTATCAGTCAGGGTTCTCCAGAGAAATGGAGCCAGTATGTGTAAGGGAAGATTTATTATGGGACTTCACCCATGTGATGGAAGAGGCTGAAATATGCTATCATCTGTCATCTGGAAGCTGGAGAACAAGGAAAACCAAGTCCAGTTCAGTCCAAGTCCAAAGGCCTGAAAACTGAAGGAGCCAATGGTATGATTCCCAGTCTAAGGCCAAAAGCCTGGGAGCGGTGGGGCAGTCTGCTGGGGTAAGTCCCAGAGCCGAAAGGCTAAGAACCAGGAGCGCTGATGTCCCAGGACAGGAGAAAGTTGATGTCCCAGCCCAAGAAGAGAGAATTCATCCTTCCTCCATTTTTTTGCTCTTCTGGTGGTCCACAGGTGGATAATGCCAGCCCACCTTGGTGAAAGCTGATCACCCTTATTCAGTCTCCTGATTCAAATGTTCATCACTGCAGGAAACACCCAGAAATAATGTCGTACCAGCTCACTGGGCATCTCTCAGCCAAGCCAAGCTGACACATAAAACACCCTCACAGCTCAGTTAAAGACAGCTCCAACTTTTGAGTCATAGGATAAAAACCTTGAAGTCATTCCCATCCCCTCCTCTCATACCTTACACCCAATGCCTCCGTGAATCCTGTCTGCCCTACCTGCAGAATAGACCCAGAACCTAACCACATCTGTCTACTACCTCTACCATCCTTTTCTGAGCCACCAACATTTCTTGTCAGGATAGCTGCAGTAGGCTCCTACCATTCCTACTTGTTTCCAGCCTTTTAGACACCACCCTGTAATGAGGGCCTATCTCTCACAAGCCAGAAATGATCTGACAGTGTTTGTTTCCAAGGTAGGCTGGCCAACATCCCCTGGGGATTCTTCTGAAAAGAGCCCTTTCCCATTGCAGCAGGTCTTGGGGGTTGGTGAGCCTAGGAGCTGCTGGCCACCATGGTTTGGGCCTCGTGAGGAAAGCCCTCGCAGACTGTTACAAACAAAAAGCGTTCAAGTCCCTGGTTCCAGTTTCCCTTGATGCCTGGCCAGGGTTTGGGCAGGCAAACACATTTACTGCTGTGCTTATGCTAGTTCAGTTTTCTTAAATATACCCTGCTAAGCCCAGCTCATCTAAGTTATTTGTCTTTTGTTGTTGTCATTTATAATAATAGGTTTTATGTTTCTTAGAGTAGTTTTAGGCTTATAGAAAAATTGAATGGGAAGTAGAGAGAGTTTCCACATGTTCTTTTTCCTCCTTCCCTGCACACAGTTCCCCTATTACTTAACCTCCTGTATTAGTTTAGTAACGAATATTAACTAAAGTCTATATTTTACGTTAGGATTCTCTTTCTGTTGTACCTTATATGTGTTTTGACAAAGATGCAATGGCACTTATCCATCATCATGTATCATTCAGAGTCGTTTCCCTGACCTAAAAATCACATGTTCCACCTTTACTTCCCTCTTGATTTATCTTTTCACTCAATGCACATACGGTGAACACCCACCATATTAAACTGCCTTAGTGGCTGGGAACATGAGTGTCACTAAATGAATGCTCAGCAGGTGTCAGCGTAGGAGACAGTAAAGGCGAGAGGAGTCAAAATTCTTCCAGCTTCAGCTGGCGACCTCAGTGAGCACAGCAGGAGGGCCCTTGCTTCTACAAGTCTTACTGTAGTGAGAGCATAAATACGTCACTGCTAGGAGAGTGGGCATAACAACAGGCAACATAGTATTGTCTCTGTAGGATGAACTTCTTAATAAGTACACATTGTTCCCCATCCAAAATAAACCTATCCAAGTAAATTTTAAATTAAGGGAATGAAACGAATTGGAGAGTAAGTTCAGGAAATAGCCAAGATGAATGGGACTCTTTCACTAGTCTGTTACCTCTATTGATATTTTAGTAGCATGCCTACTAGTCCATGACAGAATATTAAGCACTATACACGTGTGGAGAGAGGAAGATGCACTGCCGGTCCTTCCCAGCCTCCCCAGGCCTGAAATTCTGAGCCTGCAATGCCTTTCTTTATTACACAGTCTAGTATAGCACTGTATTTATTGATTTTTCTCCATATTTCAAGCAAGCAAAGTTTAATTGGCACAAATCCACCATATGCAGTTGATTATTTCCGAACTTCCAGCAGGCGAGAGCTTTACATTTTTTTGAATGGTTTGGTTTTTTTTAATATTCTTATATTTGTAGAAGCTTCTGTCACACTTTCCTCTGAGCAGTAAGGAAGACAAGCGAGTGTTTATATTTGGTCAGTGCCAATACTCTCTCTGGCTTCTTTTGTTTCTAAAACTGAAAGGAGACAGGGCAGTTACTAGATTCAGAGAATGAGAAAGAACTGCAACTAACATTGCAGCTGCAAAGCGAGGCTTTCCCCAAGAAGCTTGCCAGCATGGTTCGCTCGCGGTGTGAGGAAGCAGAAGTCTTGTCTCTGGGTTTCCCAAGATTTAAGCATCAATGTTATCAGTAGATTCTGTGTCTCTTCCTGGGAGGTAATAAAATTAGGAACAGCAATGCCGAACCTAGATATAATCAGAAGAGTCATGGAATCTTCCTACGGGAATACAGAGAATTCCACAAATTTTTCCTTTGTAGTCTTAAACCACATTCCTCTTACCTAATATATTTATGCGGAACTGATCAAATTTTATTTGATTTGATTCTACAATAGTAGATACAATTGTACCCTGGGTGTTGTGACAGATTTGTCCCCGATGGGAGGAAGTCATGGCCCTTACCCAGACTGTATTATTGCGTGATCAGCCAAGTCACAGGCCCCAGGACCCTACAGGGCACCACCCTGACTCACTCCATATATCCCATCTTTTTACAGAAAAAAAGCCATTTCTCCATGAACTGTAGCTCTCTTTTCCTCAAACTGTAGTAATTGGGATTAAATGCAGTTAAATTCTTGTGTTTTTTAAATATTCTAAAATGAGGAAATCTAAGTGTGGCTCTACTACTTAGTAATGTGGGAGCCCAAAATCCCAGCTCTTTCGTCCCAGATCAGGTACGCACCAAGCACCCCGGGAGAGGAGGTGGAATCTGGAACCTCACCTGAAGTCTTGCCTTTCTTAGCTTCTTCCCTGTCCCCAGCCTGCTTCTTCGAGTTCCTTTCTGGTTTCTTCTGGGAGCTGCACCTTAAACAAACCACCGACACCCAAATCCCTAGCGTAAGGTCCACCTCGGGAAGGAACTAACCAAAGACAGCACACATTTCTATTATGCTGCTGAACACAATGGCAATTTCCAGGCACTGAACATGTTAGATGTCTTCTGCATATTAAATGTGGGCTCATATCTGAAATCACTCTTTCAGTTTCTCTGTCTGGTACATCTTAGTGTGTATGAGATCTCCTAATAGGTAATCCAAACTTTCTCACTCTCGCCTTGCATCCCAGCTGCTGTGAAGAAGTGCGGCTTTTCTGTCAGGTACTCTTGCAAGCCACTCTAGAAATTCCATTTAAGTCTCTTTGGAGCAGGGCTATTAACCTTTTTTGTGAATCCAAACACTTTTCATATCGGAAACGAGCTGTAATTCGGAGAACATGCCCCTCTCAAGTGATTCCAAATCAAGGTTTAGGTCATTTATGAAGCTGGATATCAGTGAGAAGAAACAAAATTAGTTGGCTGGGGATGGGGAAGTGCAGGTAGAAAACACAGGACCCTCGTAAAGGGTTTGATGCATGGCAGCCTGAGGAAGCAGCAGAGACAAAGGAAAGATTTTTATTTCAAGACAAAAACAACCTGAGTGTTTTTATGGCAAAAGAATTGAGGCCAGTGAAAGGAAGCGATCGTGTATGGATGGGAAAACGAAGGTACTTGGGGGATCAAGGTCCCAGAGGAGGTGAGAGGAGTTGGAAAAGCAGCCTTGGAAAGGAAGAGGGATTCTTCTTCACTGACTAATCAACAGTGTCTGTTTCTTCAGGCATGTGATGTCCTGACTTCCTACTCATGAATGTCCTCTCTCTCTGTTTTGGGCTTAAGGATAAAGGCAGGGCCTGTTTGTACCATAGGTAGAAGTGCGCCATTTTAAACAATAGATGACAAGAACACCCTGGGAAGACACCCATGCAAGTGCACCTGCATGTATGAACCCTTCACCTTGGCCAGCTCCTAGCCACTTGAGTCCCTTGAGAGGGACTCAAGGAAGGCTGGCCTATAGCTGGAGTAGAAGGGGGTCTCATCCCCACTCAACGCTACCTATGAGTGCCAGTGGAAACCATAACTGTAGCTTTTTTTCTATAATGAGCATGTGTTGCTCTCTAATTGGGGTAGTATGGATATTTCATCAGTATTCTTCTGAAATGTGAACATGGGACATTTTTCCACTTATCTGTGTCTTCATCAATTTCTTAGTTTTCAGTGTACAGATCTTTCTCCTTCTTGGTTAAATATATTCTTATTTTACCATTTTTTA